AAAGTACACTGCAAAGCATACAAGAAAAAAGTTTCCACTAAAAGTTGGAAACACCAAACTTGTTTCATAACTTGAAGCACTGTCGAATACAACCAGGCTATGAAGGTACTTGAGGAAGAGATGCTAACAGCTCATAATTTGTGACCGAAAAGTAAACAAATGACTCAACCATACATCACTGGAGCACCCTCTAATTTGCACTCTATATGACGGGAAGAGCAAAATGATGGATGGAATTCACTGATTAGGGTTTCTCAATGGAAAAGCAGAGCTTTAAGAAGCTGACTAAAAAGCTCAACCAATTCAACTTAAGTCAATTATGTGGCAATATTATTCAGCCTCCTAAAGGGTTTCAAGGTTAAGTTACTTTAGTTATTGTGCAAGTGTTAAGCAGTTTTGTTATTGCTTTTACTAACGATATCCATGGCAACTCATCTGCTAGTCATTTAAAACAAGAGAAAAATATTTGACTCATCAACTAGTCCACTTTAAATGGACAAAGGTAAACATTGCCCAAACAATTATTTCTCATGTATGGTAGGAACTACATGAAACTTTAATTCATAGTCCTATAAAACCACATTTCAAGTGTCTTACATGTGTTGCACTTTGGAAACATCGACAGATAACATTTTTGAACTCGCAATTTCCAATGTACACTAATAAAATAATAAAAATACACTATCTGAATTTGATGTGTATTTATGTAGTCATGCAAATCCTTGACGTTGCATAAAATTTTCATAAAAACCACCACATAGGGTGCGTCCTATGAGATATTTTTTATATATCTCCATTGTTGCACCATGATCCTGGATCCTGCTGCAACAATAAAAACACTCTTCTGTATTTTTTTTTCCTATATTGTCAAGGATATTATTACAAACTTCCTCACCATCCTTACTCTCTAACATGACTACTAGCAGGTTCAATTAAAAGGCCCTAATGGAACACTCAACTCCTCAAACTTTGTTATATTTTATTTTGCTATAGTTTATAATATTAGAATGTTCAATTGCAGATCTTAGTCTTCATAAAGGTTGACATCAAACAGTGAAAATTTTCAGTCAAATCATAGTTAGCCTGTATATGAAAAATTAAGAGACAGGATTTTTTTTTTTGAGAGCTTCAAACTGATGGCTGTTGAACAAAAAAATAAATGTTTTAAAAAAAACACTGAATATTAGCAGTTTGGATCACGACCACAAGGATGACTTAAACAAAGAACATAAGCTACATGAGCTATAATAAAAAATCTCTTTAAATAAGAAATTTATCTTTAAAAAAAAAAAAAAAAAATCAGTGTGAATATCAGAAACAAATTCAATACATGAAAGCATAAAAAGAAAAAAAATAAATCAGGAGGCTGTTTGCATGCAGTTAACTGATTGTCATCTTCAAGAAACTAGTTTGAGATTATTTGAGCTTTTTCACATGATACGTTATCTTGCTGGCTACACTACCGTCATTAAAGCGGTGGACATCAGTAAAAATGCTAAACTGGCTGTGGTGTTTAAACAATGCTCGGGTTCATCTTAAGGCACCCAAAAGGTGCCAAATAAATATCCCCAAACCATTATGTCAACAGCAGCAGCCTGAATCGTTGATACAAAGCAGGAGAGATCCGTGCTTTCGTGTTTTTTTAAAATTGCTGAATTCTCACCTACCATCTGATTATTGCAACATTGTTGCAGGAGAATCATCAGACCAGACAACGTTTTTGTCCAGTTTTGGTGAGCCTGTGTGAGTTAAAGCTTCAGTTACCCATTCTTAGCTGACTTGAGTGGCACATGGTGTGGTCTTTAGGTCTTCAACAGCAGTATGGGGTCATATTGCTGTTGAAAACCTGTGCCATGGTTTGAGGTGCCACCTTTGTCCTAAGTGGGGGGTTTTTTGAGTTGCTGTTACCTTCTTATCAGTTCATTCTCCTCTGATTTCTGGCATCAACAATGCATTTTCACCCAGAGAAACTGGTGCGCATATTTTCTCTCTGACCATTCTCTGTAAACTTTGAAGATGATTATGTGGGAAGATGACAGTAGATCTGCAATTTCATAAATGCTCAGTTGCAGCCATGCGACTGATTAGACATTTACATTAACAGGTGTACCTAATAAAGTGGCTGACAGTGCATATTTTCCTTTAAGACATAATAAATTACCTCCCACGTAAGCCTATATGACTTTATTATATTTAGAAGTGTGAAATAATGTGTTATAGTTACTGCTGAAGTTTAGTATCACTGTATTTTTTCCCATCAGATTTGGCAGTGTCACAGTATGAACCTGGCACAGGTTTCCAAAGAGTCACTTAGTCCATAGGTTCATCATGTCTCTATTTTCTCACTGTTCTGTAGTGACAGAGGTTTATTCAGGTGCTAGCAGACCATTTTGCTACCAGCCAGCTAACCCTACCCAGCATGCCATTTGGCAGTGTAATTATGTAAATGTATAATCATTGTGTTATAAAATGATGGGGCAGTTAACCTGGTCCACTCTCAATCCATTCTATGCAGCACTCTTTATGACCAATCATATTAAATTTTGCAGTGCTACAGTAGTTTAGCTGCATCTCAACAATTGATCAGTATAGGCATACATGAAAAAAGACAAGATATTAAAATGGGTATAATTACAATTTTACAATCTATCAAACAAATCTAACAACACACAGCAACATTAGAGTTGCTTAACACAAGGAGTGACGGTCTTTGGGAGGCCAGGACAGACCTCAGATTTTATCTTCATCAACTTTGTCCCCCTTGGAACATTACTGGTGGTATCCCTCGTTTCTCTTCTCTGAAATGACTGGTTTCTGTCATATCTCAGGCCTATTTCTAAAATGACGTGGAACCTGTTCTAATGATTGTTAAACCACATCTTTATCGATAAATATTGAGGTGCGAAAACTCGTCATTGAGGGTACCCGGGGGGTGGGGGGTAATTTTGTAAATAATCTAAGTTAACTTCACATCTTCCTCCCTGAGTTTTGAATACATCTGTATACAACTGCAATGATAACAAGTTGTGAAGATCTTAAAGTGCAAATAGCACCAAAGGTGATCTATTCCCTTAAAAAAAAGCTTGAACGAACAAAGTGTAGAATGTCACTTTAAGTTGACTGTAACAGTTTCTAAGAAGCCTAGTGCCCTCTGAACACAGAAATCTTTGTGTAAACTGGTTGGAAAAACAAATCTCCATTTAATCAATTAGCAAAAGTGAGTCAAAAGGTTTGAGGGGGGTTTTTTTTGAAGAAATTACCAGTGAAAGTAAATTAAGTAATTAAAAAACCTTCCTTACACAAACATGAAATACAGGAACCAGAGGACAAGTTTTACTGTCAAGGACAAGATGATGTGCACTAATACGTGTAGCTGACTCAATGAGCCTATTTGATAAAAGGCACAATATCTGAGTGGACAGGGGCAAAAGCTCTGAGTCCTGTTTGTATGAAAAGGACTTATGAGAAATGTTCATTTTGAATCAGTTTGAAGAGAACCATTTTTATGCCATACTTATTAGTGACTTCTTTTTTAGTTCAGTTGCATTAATTGGTGAAATTAGCTCATGGTTTGTTTGTTTTAGTTAAGATAAACATTGATGACAATTGTCTGAACTGCTTGAGTCAATCCATATTTTTTTCTCCCCTTACTGCATTTTGAAAAAGATCTCTTGGCAATATCATTGTTTTACCTTTCTGAATATTTATAGCATGCATGGGATTAGTACAAGTGTGTTTAAAGAAAACAGAAGCATGCATACTTCAAAGAAAGCACATCTGCAGGAAGTTAAAGCAAAATACTTACTGTGTCATCACTTCGATACGGGATAAGTTTGTTGTACACTGCTTCAATAACACTTCGTCTGAGGGGGAAGGCAAAAAAAAAAATCAATGCTAGTTTTCATTCAAAATGAAAAAATATATACATATGACACCCAGTGTCACAATAGCATAGTTTCCATTCTAACCACAAATATCACTTACTTGCTCGCCAGCTCCCCACCAGGAGGAAGGTTAGGGATGCTCTCAGATGCTAACGTCCGCATCACGTGGACCAAATCCGGGACACCTTCATCCCCGTGCTTTTTGATTATCTCTGTTGGAAAACACAATTTGATTCGATTACAGCTCTGTTTAAACAACACCAGAATACTTCTAAAAATACACAATTGATATGAGCAATTAAAATATTATATATCCATGTGTACAAGGAGGATAACAAACTAACAAGATTAATATTATCCAATTTAGACCAAATCACAGTTGTTTAAGTGTGAATATATGTAAAATAAAAGCTTTGTCATAGTAATACTTCTTCCCTGATGTAACACAGAGGCCACAAAACGGTCATCGCAACTAAATAAAATATTGCTAACTTTGATGCTTACTTTTAATAGTAAGCGTAGAAAAAAATTAAATAAGCCTACTTTCATCTATTACATTCAGCCTAAGCTTTGCACAAAATATAAATATAATAGAATATAAATTATGTTTGTCTCTGCCTTCTGCTCTTAATGACATTACTAGGGTATCAACCACAAAAGACAATCATCTTTTATTATTACTGGTCCTGGACTTCTATGAGCATCTTATAGGAATTCACAGTCAATTTTGTTTAAGGAGCAAATGTAACGGCTATGTAAGTAACTCTTCAGAAATACAAAGTTACGTCATGTTAGATATATTAATTAGAGATATAACAACTGGCAACCAGACAAGTTCATTCTACCATCTAAAACTGAAAGGCTATCATTAAAATTTGGTAACATGGGCAGTGACGATATTTACTTTGGAGTTTGTTTTGCTTTAAGCGCATCTAAAATTTCTCTACATGCAGCTGCTAAGCCACAAGACAACACAGAGAAAGCAGGGGAGGCAACAAAGACAAATAAAACAGGAGGTGAAACAAAAAAGATAAAGACATCTATCCTTTTTTGTTCCTTTTTAGCTGAGTGGTTAGTCTGGTTGAGAAGAACTAAGCCCTGTGTAAATAATGTATAAAGCTGTTGTAACTATGCTAGCGAGTACAAAACTTTACCGGGATTTCTTATATGACCCAAAGCAGCTTCTTTTCACAGAACCTTTAGGCAGTAGCCCGGAAAGTGAAGAAGAAATAAGTACAAGGCATTTTCCTAAAATCCAGGTTTTATTATTATTATTATTATTATTATTATTATTATTATTATACCCGTTCCTGCGCGATGAATGGGACGCAACAACAGGTATAACCTCAACCAGCAATTGCTACTTTTCTTTTTTTTTTTTAATTCTACAAAATAGTAATGAAGCATCAACTGATGCTCAAACAGAACAACATAAGCCCAGGCAGGAATCATGCCAACAGGTGGTACACCAATGGTGATGGTGTAGCTGGCAGCACTTGCCTGTTTTTTTACCTTTAATTGCCACTGGGATACTACATTGGTGGACTGGGACCAAATTTGAATCTCGACTGCAATTTCACCAACAGTGACAACAAAATAACTGGATAAACTGACTATTCTTTTGCATTTGTTTTCACTGCAAAACTCATCTTTTTTATTGTCTTTGTTATAAATCAGACGCTCCTATTTAATTTGTGGCTGTGCATTTTTAACCCCTGTCTAAAAGCTCAAGGTTATTACTGAGTTTATAGTCAAGGCAACACAATGAGAGCCCTCAGTCAACAATCTATTTCAAAGTTAGTAAAAGTCCCAAGGTTTCCATAGTTGATCCTATGGCTGGATTACCATTTCCTGCAGGTGCTTTGCACTACAGGTATTTTAGAATCCCTCCCCTGGTATGTTTTAAGTATCAGGCAACAGTCTCCCTGTTGCCAACCAAGGCCACTGCCACCTGTGACTCTGTTCGACCCCATCTGCACACACAAACACCCCGTAGTGGATGCAAAAAGACAGGGACTGATAGTTGCCCTTTTGATATCATCTTTATGGACACCATAAATCACTTACTAAACTATTATCAGATGAACCTCCACCACTTCCAACTTTTCAAAAATGCATTTGTTTCTCCATAGTGTAGTGGTTAAAGCATCTGCTTAACATGCAAAATATCTTCAGTTGAAAACCAGGCTGTTAATTTAAATCTTGCCTGGGAAAAACTTACTTTACCTGTCAGCAACACCCTTCATGAAGTTTCACACCCTGTTTTACACTTAAAAGTTTTCTGGGGGGTTTTTGGTTTTGTTTTTTTAATCTAAAGGTTGAATACTTCCAGAACATTATGGGGTAAAAAGGAAATGATGATCACTGGCAGCATTTGAGAGACTTGACATCACTAGTAAGATATTGTTTTATTGATACATGTGCAAGATGCGCAAATAAACTTAAGATGTCAATGGCAGTCTCACTGTAATCAATGAATTTGAAGTCCTTCATTTGGTGTTTCAATGCTTCATTATCCAGTATGATTCAAATATCTACCTTAAATATATCAGATATTTAAGACCCAATCTACAGACATTACAAACAAAACACTTCCTGTTTTTGCTCTTTGATTTTGCATTTTTCATTGCCTCTAAATATAAGTAAGATATATGAGCATTTGTAAACTTAATGTTTTACTCTATAATAATGTCAACCAAAAGTGCTTTTACTACCTTCTACTCTGGCCTCCAGATATTTGTCCAGCTCAGCTTCTCGTTTCACTGCTTCTGAAGATACCTTTGGGGCCCCAGGAAAGCAGACTAGCACAACACTCATATTGTCCCGGCTTCCCTGCAAAGAAATCAAAGATAACAAACAAGAATTTATGTAAATCAACCATTGTACCAAACAGTTCAACAAAGTGTCAGAAGAGGGTTTGTTGATGGTATACCTTGTACAAGCAGGTGTCAACAATTTCATTGCTGACTTTTTCAAGATCATCCGTAACCTCTAGCCTTGACCTCACAAAGTCACACAGTTCTTCATTGGCCATGACATCCCAGATGCCATCACAAGCTAATATAATGAATTCATCTTCCCCCTCGCTTCTCTCTATTGCATAAACTTCAGGCTCTGGAGAAACAAGCTGCTCTGTCGGGCCTTTTCCATGCACACATTTGTAGTCGAAGTCTCCCAGAGCACGGGACACTGCTAGGGACCCATTAACTCGCTGGATCATGACTGAGCCACCGGCGTTCTGGATCCTTTCCTTTTCCAGTGGGTTGCTAGGTTTGTGATCCTGTGTGAAGAAGTGCACAGTGCCGCCCCGGCTGAGGAGCCCACGCGAGTCGCCGCAGTTGATGAAGTAGATATGGCTTGGAGAAATCATTACCCCCACTGCAGTGGAGCCACTTCTGTCCACACCGTGCTTCTTCTCGGAGATGGTTCGCATGTGTTCGTCAATCTGCAAGAACCCAGTGCGGATACCATTCTTCACGCTGTCCACACAGGGGTCATCCTGAAGAGCACTCTGGAAGTCTGAGTTGCTGGTGATGTGCTCCAGCAGGTGCTCACAGCAGTACTTGGCCACCTGAGAGCCAGCATGCCCATCATAAACAGCGAAGAATGACCACAGGTCGAGACCATGAGAGAGACCAATTACCGCTGTGTGTGCATCCTCCATCTCAACCCTCCAACCCTGCATGCTGCTCAGCCCATACCTCAGGTTGTTACCTTCACCATGGGAATTATACTTTTCCATCTTTGGTTTGTCCAGAAATGCACCCATTGTGTCCCTTTAAAAGCCTGTAACACAAAAGAAATGACAAATTCGTTGATTAAGAAAGTGCAGTCCAATCAAAGCCCCAATTTGGAAACTAAAACAATACATGTTGTCTAATTATGACAATGTGAAAACATAAAACGAGTACAAATCTGACTAATTTTCTGAAAAAGAGTTTTCTAAGAAATAACCAGAAAGAGGCACTAATTCTATCAATAAACTAACAGCACGTCTTAGATCCATTTGTGGCAAAAGATTAACATCTTGGAGTTGAGTTCAGCCCCTACTAGTCTAAAAATAGTAGACTTGTGTGCACATTTTGGCCACACATTAGGAACACTGCTGGTGTAGATCAGACTGAAACGCCCTCAGGCCAGTGGCTGTCTAGAGTTTACCAATAAATGTAACGAAACGTTTTAAGTTATTTACTTTCATTTTGATAGTCCACTAAGCCACTGTGACCTCCGCAATGCAGACCACTTCACCATACTAGCTACCTGGGGTAGTAAAGAGTTGCAGCTACACGCCTGTAGCGCTAGCCCCAGCTAGCAGACTCGATAACAATCACAAGACATAAAATCGGTCAAAACCAACTCTAACGCTGTAATGAACTAGTTTACACCATAGTCACGTTTATTAAGGCTCAATAATGCTGCTGGGTTTAGTGAGAAACTTTGCTCTGCAGCCAGTACCGACTACAACTGAAATAAACAAACAGCCTAGCCTACTTACGGGCCTTGACCCTTGTCTCTCACAGCTAACTGACAGGCCTCCCTCCCTGCCGTGGTGCGCTAATATAATATTGAGGCAGGCAAAGCCCTTGGCCTTGCTAATTGCTACATGCTAACACAGCTAAGAACTACGGCTGCCCAATGTTCCTCAACAGCTGCTGGCTACAAAGTAAACATTTAATGACTTACCAAATACCAAAATACTAGTCGACACCAGCGGAAGATACAACAGGGACGATGACCGACTGGCCGCAGTTCGCACCAGAGAGGGTACACCGACGAAACTAGGGGGTTTACGGCGGTTTAGCTAAGGTAGCTAGCCAGTTAGCAGCGAGCAATCGTCACTCAAGATTCGGTGCATATAAATTGTGTAGGTGCGGAGATCCCTCTTTGCGTACGTCCGTGATGCATTACATTATCTCAGCTGGCGAGAATATTCAAACGGATTTTCTCGTGGCTTTTTGGGGAGTGGCCGGAGGTTTATGCGGCCAAGCCAGGGGAAGGGAAGCTGAAACGTCTGCCCCAGCCTCTCCACTTGACAGCCTGACAACTTGCTAGCTAACGTTAGCCTGAGCGGCACGGAGCGACGGAGACAGGACCCGGATGTTGCAGGTTGCGCATTCGAAAACATGACATCATTCCTAAAGATCTGTGGCTGGCTGCTCCAGCTGCTACATAGAAACATGCTCGAAAAGCATGTATACCACAACACGGGCTTCCAAATCTGATATAAACAAGCCCGTACAAAATGACAATTAATTCAGTGCAATCCTGCAAACGGGCTGCATAAGTGCTTCTGTCAAAATATGTCGTTATTGCACAAATTCCTGCTTCTTGTGCAATTTCAGTCTGTAGAAGGGAAATGTGGCACAGTTAATGTTGACCATTGCTTGATTTTTGTTTTTATTAATTTTAATTTATTTTATTTTACCCCCCTCCCCCCGCCATGTTCTCCAGCGCCACCAATAGGTCGAATTATAGGTGTGTTTATGCACTTGAATCGCTTGCTTTATTCATTTATTTATTTATTTATGTTATTATAATCATTTACAACTGGAAGGTTTCCACCACATTCCTACAGCAAATTATAAACAATTATAAAGGTTAACATGCATGCATAAATTGTTATGTTTAGCTGTTAAGTATAATTCGTGAGGTCTGTCCAAAAAGTTAGGTTACAATATATGTAATCATAAAAATGAGTGAAATCTTTTTCTTATTTGATTTGTTGTTCCAAAGAATTTTCGAGGAAATTTATAACCTATAATATGTGCAACCACAAAACAAATGAGTTCTACTTTTCAGATGATTCCTGTGAAAAAGTTTATTTTTCATTGACATTTAGCAATCATTTAGATGTACATGTTTCTGGGATTATATATTACATAATATTTTATCTGCAATTCATTATTTTGTTTTATATGTAGTATCTAAAACGTAAGAACCGAAACTTTATGGCAACTGGCATCTATAAACAAAACATTCCCATAAAACTTCCCACGATAGTTTTATTTTGCTGCTGTAGAAACATAAACTAGTCTGATTCACCGAGTGTTTCTTTGAGGTCAGTCACTGTCATACTGTATTTTTTACAGAAGCGGGTTTCCTAAAAAGCTGACAAGTTTTTGCTGGGTATATTTGTAACAGAGGATCTTTAGGCCAAGTCTCATAAAAGTTAAATGAGATGACACAGAGGTTGTGTGTGGCATTGCTCGCTCTTCTGTAACAGGCTTTCAAACCCAGTATCCAAAAGCCTGTGGGTAGAAGATGACCACCATCTGCACCATTTTTACTGTGGACAGTTAGGGGAGGACTTTCTCTAATAGATTGAATTGACTTTGCTGTCCCAACAGGAAATCTTTTCAATATATCATAACATAATACCAATATTTACTTTGTTTGTTTGCTTTTTTTTTATTACTGAGTTCCTTGTTATATTATAATCAGCTTTTTAAATGTCATTTGTTATTTTATTTTCTGATTTTTGTTTCTTAAGCTCATTCATTTTATATTGTTTGACATTTTTATTTTCATGTAAATTTATATTCTTGAGTATTTTACCTTATAGCTATTTTTGTTTTGTCATGTTGTATTATGTCATACTGAGCTATTCTATTTAATTTAAGCAATTCTGTCTTAGGTTACAGCTGCTCTAGCATAATTTCCCTTCTGGGATGAATACTGTAGTATCTTATCTTAAATGCCCTTTAACCTTGCTGAGTTGCTAGACTCCCTTATCATCGCTGTAGCTTTAATGGTTGACAGTTCTTTAAATGAGCATGGTATTTACATGGATGCAGGGGTCTCGAAAGTTAAGATGTAATCAAGAGGAACTGAGCAATACATGAATCAATGTAACATGTCATGATCCATTTACTCTGAAGGGTCTGTTTGGTAAAAATGAGATATTATTTAAAGAAAAATTAAAAGATATGTTATGAAAATGAGTTAAAATGTATTACATTTACACTAGACATCCATGAGCCAAAATGTGTCCAGTGTACTAAGCAATCAAAATTAAGTGCATTGTGTCTAACTGCACTCGGCCAGTAAAATAACCACCACATGCATGTTTTTCAGTTTGGAGTGTTTCTAAACCCATTAAATCCAACATGAAAATAACACTGTGCTCAGTTAGTTAAACTAGTCAAGATCACAGTTTTTATACTATGCAAATCCGTCCTGCATCAGGCTTGCATAAATCAATGACCGGGGGGATATAGGTTATTTTAATAATAATAATAATAACAGATAATAGATGGATATAGGTTACTTTAAAATGAAATACAACATGCAAAACTGCATATCGCTAATGCCTCATACTGGGAAAACGTGTGTTTGCTTGTATTACTGAAATATATCCCCTCATCTTACTTACTGCCATACTATACTTACATATCTTACTGTCTTGGAGCAACTGTGACCACATAATTTCCTCAGGGATTAGTAAAGTATTGTGAGTCTGATTCTGTTCCATTAAATCCTCTCTCATCTAAACTCAGGGCTGGGTTTGGGTTTTGTGTTTTTTTGTTTTTTTGTTTTTTTGGAGACTCGCCAGGTTCTGCAGGACACTGTGTAACAGCTGTGGTTCAAGTTCGTTATTGCAAAAGATAACTGTTATACTGTTATGCAACCTGGAGAAGAGCGATAGATAGGAAGAAGCACGTTTATTTCTGAAGATTTAATTTTGAAAATAAAGCGGAAGTGACGTAGACATCCTTTAACTTAGTTTTGGTTGTAGCTATGGGGTTAGGGTTACTGCTTCATTATTGCAAACATTTTAAGAGATACTTATTATTCTTAACATCTTAACAGATACTCTGACCTGTAACTATCGTAAAATGCTTCGACCGTAAGTAGACACCGTTCGCACATGCGTGGTACCGATCGGATTTCCGGTACGGATCGGGTAGTGACAAGCCACTTTAAAAGTATACGCGTGTCCTGTAGCCCACTTGCTTCCACCAAATGGACTGCTGGATTGTGTCTGCTCTCAGCTGGTTTATACCAGTTTATTTACTCATCCATTTACTCTGCTTCCTTTTCGCGGATGCAGACTTCACTCTCCTCTGGGCAAGTCTAGCGGGGCACAAGCCAGGTGAGTCAAACGAAACACACCACATGTTGTCCTCACCTTCTTGTTTATAACGAAGGGAATCCGTCCTATGAGGGGACAAGCACGGGTAACCTCTCTGTTTGTGATTGATCGGTTGAACTGTCAAAGAACAATAAGTTGATTTTATAAGGCTTCGTCTTCAACTCAGATTGACCTCTGAACTCTTTAACGGCAAAACGTCATTTGCGTTTAGAAGATAATGTGTGCCATGCTAACTTTACTCTGATGTGAGTCTCAGCAGAACACACAGCTTCTTATATTATATAGACATGTAATCATACAACAAATTCCGTATAATGTTACAATATGCACTTAATAATTTCTCTGTATGAATGTCAAAAGTCTTCCATTTTAGTGCACTGGAACATTTTCTGAACAGTGACCACAGGTAGTCAACAAAAGTACTAAAGGCAAAACTATCCAAGAGTTCAAGAGTCTTCTGTGAAAAAGATAAAATAAGTAATAATAATTTTGGTGAAAGTAAGAGCATACAATAAGAGTGCCGTATTCAGTTAAAACAAAATCAGGCAATCTTTATGACTCCTCTGTTGCTAACTGCTAAGTGTCGTAAAAGAAATTCGCCTTGTTGACTGTTGTGGTTTGTGTCAACCAGAGAGGAAGCTGAAAGGGCTGGTGGTGTGGATCACTGGAGCATCCAGTGGTATTGGAGAAGAGCTGGCCTACCAGCTGGCAAAGTGCGGCTCACGTCTCATCCTGTCTGCCCGCCGTGAGGATGAGCTACACAGAGTGAAACGCCATTGCTTAGGTAAGATCAATTAAAATGATGTTGTTATGTATTCAACATCCGTGCTTTAACTTTTTACCTCTTCAGTCAGTTCAGTTGCAACTGGGCATTAGCTTGATTTCAGTTCAGTGTTACTTGCTTGTGATCAGCTGAATCATTTTTATTCTTTTATTTTCAAGAGACCTCAGACCTTAAGGATGACGATGTTCTTGTTCTTCCCCTTGATTTGCTGGAGAGGACATCACACGAGGAAAGAACAAAAACAGTTATTCGCTACTTTGGGCATGTAAGGCTGCTCCAGGTGTTCTTAGTTTCATTACCACATTAATATATACATTAATATGACGCCTACAACTTATTTAAAAGATACTGGTTTTAAACCAGGAATCAAACAATGACCAAATTAAAATTTTATTTCACCAGATTGTTATTTGGTGTTATTTTTTCATCCCTCATCAGATTGATATACTCATTAACAATGGCGGTCGAAGTCAGCGCTCTCTGTTCTTGGAAACCAGCGTGGATGTGTGCCAGGGCTTGATGGAGCTCAACTTCTTAGGTACAGTCTCTCTAACCAAGCAAGTGCTGCCTCACATGACGCAGCGAGGCAGGGGGAGCATCGTGACTGTCAGCAGCCTAGTCGGCCTCGCCGGGGCGCCTCTTGCAACAGGATACTGTGCCACCAAGCATGCTCTTCAGGTGATGCGATTTCTCATGACTCTGTGGTTTGAATTTAACTCATTTAATGTAATTGAATGTTTCTGCATCTCGTCTAAACTTAGCATTAGTTATATATGGGGAACAAAGAAAGGGAAAAAAAAAATATTACCGGTCCCAACTGGGTAAGTGGTGTTGCTGTATTTTCCACAGGGATTTTTCAATGCCCTTCGACCTGAGCTGACTGATTATCCAAAGATACTAATTAGCATGGTGTGCCCAGGGCCAGTCCAATCACAGATCATCAGCAACGTCTTCACAGAGGAGCTAAACAAGGTAATGCATTTTATTTGCTGTTTCGATTTCACATTTGTGACATAAGTGCTTTTTGAGAACGTTTGCTTTCAGTAACCATTTTTCCTTCCATTACGTAAAGCCTGTGGCATCAGTTGGAAGCCAGGAACACAAAATGCCAACAAGTCGCTGTGTGCATCTAATGCTAGTGGGAATCGCCAATGGTGTCAAGGAGATGTGGATTGCACAGCAGCCCTTCCTCCTGTTTTACTACGCCTGGCAGTATGCTCCTACGTTTGCCTGGTTCATCACAGACCTGCTGGGAAGGAAGAGAGTTCAGAATTTTAAAGCTGGTGTGGTACGTACATAATATGCACAGGGTGTATGTAAAAGATGGGTGTAGCCACCAAGACATCATGCCTTGGCCTCCGGATTCGGAATTCTGAAGGCATCATGTTGATTTTTTTTTTTTTTTTTTTTGGCGCCAAAAGTGAACATATTTAAATCAGAGGGTGAGGATATTGGCTCAAGTTAGCAACATGCTAATTAGTGCTAAATAGCAGACTAATAAAACTAATGCACAAACTGACAGGCTGTACATAATAGCAGGGGATATTAAGCAGCACAGACCCAGTTAAGAGGTCCAGTTCAGCTCCCCGTGTCTGTAAACCTGTCAGTCAAAGCGTTCAAACCCCCAAATTTCAGCTTGATAAACAGGCAGAGCAAAACATGTTATGAGGGGAAACGGGCTATAGAGACTTTGCTGTAGATGTGTTTTTTCATGCCTGAGCTTGGTTATTGGGTACATAAAAGGTTGATGAGGCCATTGCATGTCATCCATTAGTTTCTGGAGTCTGCACTCAAGCATTTTTGATGCAACCATGTTTTCTTATATTTATATATAAATTAATATCCATCCATCCATTCGCATCCGCTTATCCTGTTCAGGGTCGCGGGCGGCGCTGGAGCCTATCCCAGATGTCATAATATAAAGCACAAAATCTAAAACTTGTGTCTTATATTGTAGGGTAAAGACCACACAATAATAGATCCTATCTTCTTGCCCTGGTTATGCAGTTGAGCCTTATTTGTGTCCTTTTCACTCCCTGTCATTTAAGTGTGTGAGAATTTTAAAAATGTCTATAGCTCATACATAGAGTCCAGACCTGCTTTAATTCTTCATGGCATAGATTTAACAAGGTGCTGGAAACATTCCTCAGAGATTTTGGTCCATAGTCACATGACAGCACCACACAGTTACTACACATTTATTGGCTACACATCCATGAGGTGACTCTCTGGAGTCCACCAAATCTCAAAAGTGCTCTATTTGGGTTAGGATTCAATGATTCAATTTTTCCAGAGTTCTGTTGTGCAACTTTGGTGAGCTTGTCTGAATTGTAGCCTCAGTTTCCTGTTCTAAGCTGACAAGAAATGGCACCCGGTGTGGTCTCCCTATTGTGTCAATGGGGCATTTTCACCCGAAGAACTGCAGCTCACTGCATATTTTCTCTTTTTCAAACAGTTTCTGAAATACGCTTACCAGCTACATTCATACATCTGCTGCATTCAAAGTTACTCTAATCACTTTTCTGCCTCATTCTAATGGTCTGTTTGAACCTCAGCAGGTCATCTGAATCTTCTTTACGTGCCTAAACTCATTGAGTTTGCTACCTTGTGATTGGATGGTTAGATATTTATGTTACTGATCAGCTGACTAAAGTGGCCAGTGAGTGTAATTATGTCAGTATTTAACGGAGAGGGAGGAGAATGCATATAAATTGCACACTGGACCTTAAATATAAAGAGGTTAATTTACAGAAAGGTCATTTTGCAGCTGGGTGGCCGTTGCTTCAGAAGGATCATTTTGAAACAGAAAGAGCCTAAAAAAACATGAATAGCATAACAGTGAAATCCCTGCCTATAAAGCTCGTCATCTTGTGACCACCTTGAGAATTTTTTTTTTTAAGATGTACAAATATTAACAGCATGTCTATTTGGACGTTTTCCCTTAAATTATTTTGATTTGATTCAGGGAAGTAGAAAATCAGTGCTGACAGCTGCACTCTTCCTTTTGCAGGATGCAGACTCTGCATACTTCACTAAACCAAAGACCTCCTGAAAGCTGCGTCCTCAGGAAGAAACACTTCAATGTGTTCCTAAAGTTGGACTTTGGATTTTTTTTTCCATCCAGAAGGAAGAATTCAAGGACATGACTGTTTAAAAGCTCAGTTTAAAAGCTCTTCTTGTCTCAGACGTAGTCTGTTTTTCCCTTGGGTTTTTTTTTTTTTTTTTTTGGCCTAAAGAATGATTACAGATTTGAATGACCTTTTGGATGACTAATAAAGTTTACTTCAAATTTTCTTTTGGGCCAGGTTGTTTAATGAAATATTAAACTGCTGGTTGATGAGCGATTTTATTGTAAGCATATGAAAGATTAGAGGACTTAGAAAATTTACACTTCCTTTAAAGGGACAAGTAAAATTATCAACACAACATCACACCAAACACTATGCAGATACAGCAAGACCCAATCCAATGCACGTCTTCATAGAAGCTTAAAAATCCTTGTGAGGTTATTCTTTCACAAATCTTCTTGTAGGAGTCTTTGGAATCACGCTTGGGCACTCATACTCAGACTTCACCTGAATAACCAACCGTCTAATGAAATAACGTTCTTAATAGCCCACCAGTTTTGTCCAGGCCCTGGAATCACAATTTTAATGTGATGAGACTAAGTCTCAATTTTAGCTGTTTCTAAATCATGGTGAATTTACTGACAGTCACCTGTTTGTGTTTCATGCACTTTGCAGCTTCAGTTTTAATTATATATATTTTTAACATGTTTCTGAGACACAGAAAAACAACAACCACTATGTAAGTTTCAAAGACTTTTGAAATTGGTGTAAATTCTTGACCCTTATTCTTCATAACCTCTGAAATTCTTTGTGGCAAGCTTGATATCAACTTCCTTCCTATTGGTGTCAAGATTGACTCATAGTTTAAAAAAAAAAAAAAAAAGGCCTCAAAGACTAACTTCTTACAATGAGCAATTTGATGACACTTTGGTGCATTTTCAAGCATGATGGAAAACCATGTCTCTAGGCTAAAGTAATATTTAAATGGTTCAAATATCATCAAATTAACATTTTGGATCCATACACAAGAAATATGATACATTTGGTCTTTTGGGGTAAAAAGTGGGAACCCACAAGTTAATCAGCTTTGAACTCTAACAAGGCGGGAATGGATCCCAATCAGCCGAGAAACCACAGAGTGTTTTAAAAATTATGAAGAAGAAGAATAAAGACTTTAAATATCGCTCTCTAGGTTTAAATTTGAAAATACTAGAGAGGAAGTGATTACACAAGTGGTTACACTTTAACCACCTCTCATTATAGGTTGCGGTGTAGTTACTTAAATCATAAGTTTGTTGGTTGTGCATGTGTGTTGTTTTACAAGGAATGGAGTCCTGCACTGTATCTGCACTGAGCTGCTTCATAGCATTTTGTTTACTTGTCTGTTTAATTGGCTTCATTTTCGCGGATGCAGACTTCACTCTGCTTTGGGCAAGTCTGACAGGGCAAAGGCCAGGTGAGTGAAACGACCACCCCCCAGCACTGTGAGAAGTTTCTTATTAATAAAGAAGGGGCTCAGATTTGTGATCAAATGTGTATCTCTGCAAATGTTGGGGACAGTAAAAATTAAAAATAAAAAAACGTTAGGCTAAGTTTATAAGTCTAACTGACCCTGGCAAATTTTGGAAGAGATCATACATTTTTCTCTTATCAATTATTCACAAATGTTTTCATATCAGGGAGCAGTGGCAGTCAGAGGAGGCCTCCTCAGAGCCTGTTGATGTTACTAAGTGCAAAGTTATCCTAAAGGGAAAGCACAGACTGTCTGTCAGCCAAGGGTTTGTTTTATTAAGTAAATGTGTTTCTGTTTAGAACAATCTTTGATAGCAATGCGGTGATTTTTGTGAAGCTGAAATGTGATACCTTAAAGAGGGAAGTTGTGCCCAAGGATCACTGTTAAGGACAACAGTTACAGAGAGCTAAATTAGACTGAAAACCTGCACTGAGACCTGAAGTGTGAATTCATTCTGTACTGTGCTGTACTGAAGGGGATAAAACCGGGATTATACTGTACCATTATAACTAGGCCTGCCATGTTAATGTGTAAGCAGGAGTTTGATGTTGTAGCTAGTCAAATATAGGTCAAACTTTAACTATTTTTATGCTGTTAGATAGTTTTGTAAGGAGCACTTTAGTCTTCACCATAATTAGAAAGTAAAGCATGATGCATAGAGTATCATTAAAACTTACAGGAATCTGGCCTCTTGTACTTGAGTGTAACCAGTGGTTTCCAACTTGCTTTAAACTTTCTTTATTTCCATTCATGAAGACATCTCTTGATTTGACAGCTTAGCAATGATACACCTATCTCTTCGAGAGTTCTCTTGACTTGTTTAGATGTTACTGAAGGGAAAAAAGGAAAGGATACTGTGACCAGCCACTTTAGTTTTCATCTGTGGTCTTTCAGGCCTTTTTGGTATTTTTGAGATGGCCATCCTTCCATGTACACCCTGGACAATTTCAAATCAACAGTTAACCTAACCCCACTAATTGCATGTTTTTGACTTGTGGAGGGAAGCTTCAGTACCTGGAGAGAACCCATGCAAACATGGGCAGAACATGCAAACTCCACACAGAAAGGCCCCCACCAGATGGTGGAGTGAAACTTTATTTCCTTTTTACCGATGTACCAGATTATGGATTTGGCTGCTCCTTAGGTTTTTGCTATCTCTCTGAAAGTTTATAAAGACCAAAGAACTGTAGCAGGAAATGTTGACTGTTGTGATTTGTGTCAACCAGAGAGGAAGCTGAAAGGGCTGGTGGTGTGGATCACTGGAGCATCCAGCGGTATTGGAGAAGAGCTGGCCTACCAGCTGGCAAAGTGCGGCTCACGTCTCATCCTGTCTGCCCGCCGTGAGGATGAGCTACACAGAGTGAAACGCCATTGCTTAGGTAAGATAAATTGTTTTAAATTGTCAAATTATATCAAAGTAAAGTAGATTCCAGCCAAAAGAAACCCACTTAATGTGAAGGAACACTTAAGCTTGGGTACATGGACGTATATGGAGTATAACACATTAATAACATGCTAGGTTTCCATATGATGTCAGTTATAGTTTGTTCAGTTTTACTCAAAAGTGACTAAATGAATGCTTTTTGTCCTTTATTCTTTAAGAGACCTCTGAACTTAAGGATGAGGATATTCTTGTTCTTCCACTTGATTTGCTGGAGAGGAGGTCACATGAGACAAAAACAAAAACTGTGATTGGGTACTTTGGACACGTAAGCTCACTGCAGTTGCTCATAGTTTCATGAATTTTTTTGTTGTAGCATTAACAACTCATCTATAACATTCAAATACTGGGTTTGATTTACATAATAGAGACCACCTTTGTCTTATTTTAAAGACATCCTTTAATGGATGGTTGGTTTCACTTCACTTTGTGGATGTAGTTTAATTTTTCATTATTCAAGTCATTTTCTAAGAACCTGTGACAGTGTGTAAATTAAAGACTTTTTACTTTAACAAGGTGTAGAAAACCGGAAAATGTATGCCATACATGAAAAAGGGCTAAGGTAAAATATAGCAAAACGTATTTCCAGCTTTTACTGCAAAACCTTCCTTTTGTAGCACATGCAGAAGTCAGTTTGGAACCAGCATCCAAAATCTGTATCCTTCAGCATTAATGGTGTGCTGTCACAGATATGCTTGTTACCTATGCTGTGTGCACCAATGCAGCCCCAGATGCTGACCTTTGGACTTGGTTCTCACAGTAAGCTTGGTTGTCTGTCTCCTTTTCTAGCCCGGACCATGTGTGGCACCCACGATTTCCAGGAACTATTTTCAAATTTGGATTGATCAAACTGCAGTTATTAAATCCCCCTGTTAGCTGTGACATGTTCCACCACTTTTAAAGCCTAACACTGTTGTGCCCCTTTTACAAAAGCAGATCTACTGAGATGTATTCCAGCAGTCATCATCTGATCAGAGCCTTTTAACTGTTATTTTAAAACCACATGCACCATCTCTTCTGAGGTTGTAAACTCTCAGATAGCTACTCTGTTTTAAATGTCTGCTGAAAACAATGTTTTTTCTCCATAAACATTCACCCTTACAATTGTGATAGTTTTGATGAGACATGTGTCCTCTATTCAATAATAATAAAAAGACTAAAGCTTCCACTGAAACTAATAAAAACGAAACTAAAACTAAACATTTTCGCACAAAAAAAAACTAAACTGAAACAACAAAATCCACTCTGAAAACTAACTGAATCAAAATAAAAACAAATTAGAAAGTACAAAACTATAGGTAACTGAAATAAATGAGATTTCAGATGTTCTTTTCTATCCCTCATCAGATTGATATCCTCATTAACAATGGCGGTCGAAGTCAGCGCTCTCTGTTCTTGGAAACCAGCGTGGATGTGTGCCAGGCCTTGATGGAGCTCAACTTCTTCGGTACGGTCTCTCTAACCAAGCAGGTGCTGCCTCACATGACGCAGCGAGGCATGGGGAGCATCGTGACTGTCAGCAGCCTCTTTGGCCTTACCGCTGCGCCTCTTGCAACAGGTGCCTCTGCTAGCAAGCATGCACTTCAGGTGATGAGATTTCAGAAAGGAGATTATGACTTTTTTATTTCTCTTAATTCTTTTCAACTAAATGTATTAGTTGTTGGCTTGTGGGAACAGATCTGGATCTCTGCTGTATTATCCACAGGGTTTCTTTAATTCCCTTCGAACTGAGCTGACTGACTATCCAAAAATACTAATTAGCACAGTGTGTCCAGGGCCCGTCCAATCACAAATCGCCAAAAATGCCTTTACAGCAGAAATAAACAAGGTATTTTTTTAGTTGATATGCCTAATATAACCATTTCAAAGCTATGTTTTAAGTAACAAGTTTTCCTCTCATTACTTCAAGCCTCCACCCACAGTTGGACATCTGAAGAGGATGCCAACAGATCGCTGTGTGCGTTTAATGCTAGTGGGAATTTCCAATGGTGTCAAGGAGATGTGGATCTCTCAGCAGCCCATGCTCCTGCTTTACTACACCTGGCAGTATGCGCCCACATTCGCCTGGTCCGTGTCCGACAGGTTGGGCAGAAAATGGGTGCAGAATTTCAAAGCTGGTCGGGTAGGTACAGAAAGTTTTTATGGTGCAAAATTCCCTTGTAGATATATTATTTACACATTAGTGTACGTCTGAGAAATTCAAACATCACCATATTTTTACCAAATACTCTGATCAATATGAGTATATATTTGGGCTTTATGAGTTAGTAAAAACCTTTTTTCATAATATTTGTTTTACACATTTTGACTTGGTCAGGAGCATGCAGGTGAACATGCAGCTTTTTTCCACTTTACTTGGGGCACATCAGATGCTGCCATTTCTTTCTGCAACATTTGTGCTGCTGCAGTATTCTGCAAGGTTAGCTGTGCTAGATTAGACCTGAGACTGGTGGGTTCTCACTGTGTGAACAGGCTGAAAATACTTGAATAAAGTTGAACTATGTGTGCAGCGCTGTCTCTTAACAGCTGGGAGGCTCTAGCTTCTACTGACCTTGGTTGAGTCTAATAAGAAGAAGGCAGTGTCTAGGGTATGACAGTGAGCATGACTACTTCCCCCTGGTGCTGACTGGATAACTGACTGACCAGTGTGTCTGGTGGCCTCTGCTGGACAGTGACAGCTGAGGGCCATGCAGAAAGGTCATGCCACTACTGGCTAGCCATTGTGGATTCACTTGCTTGGGATGGAGGAGGATCATTTTGGGACCAAAAGAAAAAGAGGAAACACTATAAAGACTTACAGAATCTAAACATTCCTCTACAGTGAAATAGTTGGGCAATGTAAGGGGCATGCTTGTGACCAATAAAGTATCTCAAGATTTACAGATGTTAACATGATATATATTCAGACAATTTTCAACCTTGAATAAAAGAATTTTTCATTTTTGGTGCAAATCAAGTGCTGACAGTTAGCGTCTTCTTTTGTAGGATGCAGACTCTGCAAACTTGACTAAACCGAAGACCTCCTGAAAATCACATCCTCAAGAGGAAATTGCATTCCTAATGTTGGACTTTGTATTTTTTTTCTCCTTTTTTCAAAATTTCTGCTTTCATGTCATGTCACCTTGGGATGGCTGTTGCGGGCGATAAACTGGCGATGTATAAATGAAATTGAATTGAGTCTTGAAGTAAATATTTAGAGACATAACTGGTTTGAAAGCTCCGTGCCCTCTTCCTATCTTAAATGAAATGTTTGTAACCAATAATCAACTTGTGGTACACAGCCTTGAAGAATGGACAACAAGCTATAAAGACTATATTAAGAATGGCAATGTTTCTGCAACGACCCTTTAAATGCCTACAAAAATTGAGTTATGTTCAGTTTTCTCTATCCCGGCAAGTTTGTTTAATGAAAAACAGCTTTTGACAAGCTATTTTTATTGTAAGTATATACAGCTACACATATAAAAATTAACAATATGTACAAGAAACTGTGGACAGATTCATTCTAGATTGTAAACAAGTGAATTGTAAACAAAACAACAGCACTAAACACCATACGTGTACAGCGAGACATCCCCAAGGCACATCCTTGATATTCTTTAACAAAGCAATAAAATCCTCATTCCTTTTTGTGGAAAAGTGAGGGAGGATGGGAAGGGGGATCACATGAACATTAAAAAGTCGAATTAAACCAGAGGTATTTATTAGTCGTCTCCTGGAGAGGAGGGGTCTTAATTTATTCACTTTTTGTTTCAGCACAAACATTAATAAACACAAATGTCTGTGCTTTGGTGGCGATGCCACTGCTCCATCTCTCAAATTAATGTGAAGAATTAAGTTGGTTCCCATGCCGACTTGACACTTCACAAACTCTGAGTCAACAATTTAAAATGTAAAACTCCTGATTTAAGATTTCTCTTGACTTTGCTACAGTTCAAACATGAATTTCTGTGGTACTCCCACCTGAAAGATGGAACCACAGCTCAGAGGCAAGGAAAGTGAAGTGGGGCAGATGAGTAAATGGGGTATCCTAGAGGCGGATCGGCTGCCTGAACCGTTAGGTTTCTTAGCATGAAGGGGTGGGCCTGAATGCTGTACCGCTCCTCGTCATCATTAGTAGCATACAGAAGCTCCCAGGAGAGGTTTGCCCACTGGCCTCTCACCCCTTCTCCATTGAGACGGCCCACCTGTACAAGCTGCTCCTGAAGGGTCAGCACTCGCCCTGTGTAGGTACCCTGCACACAAGGACAGTCAAAATGTTACAAACTAACTAGTGGAACCAACTAAGCTGAACACATGGATTTATGAGAACCTTAAATTTTATGTCAACTGGATAATATACTGTAATTATAATTGTATATTTTGTAGCTTAGATGTAAATGAGGCTTCGTTATGTCTTATTACCATTGTGAGATCATGTCCTAGTGAGAATAGAAAGGGCTTTTCCTGAAGAACGCTGTCATGCCAGCCTTTCTCTGTCACCAGGCCGATGTACCAGTCCCTTTCATATTCCTCCAGAGTGCTGAACAACTCTTCAGGGGACTCCATTGGCCCCAGGCTTGCTTGATCAAACAACAGCTTGAAACTGAACCTGAGGGCAAACAAAAGCATAAGGCAGAACTCTTATGGATGCTCTGGCTCAAATAAGTCTGGCTGATTATAGTAATCACAATCTAGAGGTCCTAACTGGCAATTTTACCTGAAAGCCTGAAGTGTGAGCTGGTAAAGTTCTTTACTTGAAGACAGCCACTCAAGTCCTTCTGTCCACGGTACATCTCCACAATACAGCCTGTACACATAACTAGGACTGGTGAAGGCAGACTCTGCCCCCAGTGAGATGAGACACGAAAGTGCAACATGAATATGCAGTTCCTTCAAAGCTTCATCTTCCTTGAGGGCTTTGGTCATGTCCTCTGAGGTTGCACCCTGCACAGCAGGCCCAAAGCGTCCCAAGGTAAATCGAAACCAATCCTCAGGAAATAAAGGCCTGAGAGACAGCAAGCGGGATGGTAGTAATGGTGCTGTCCTCCACCCTTTTGGTAGATTGAATACCTCAGACTGGGGGCAGCTGAAGTTCAGATGTGGGAGAGAGCCAGACCTTTCACCGAATACCTCTGAGTTATGGCCTTTATCCACAGCTGGCATCCCAATACCCAGTCCCAGAGGCTGCAGTGGCTGCAGTGCAGAGAGGGCCATGTTTTCAAAAAGACTGTCCATCTCCACGGAGCCCGGCAGAGAGGCCCCCATCTGCAGGGTGGCGTGTCCAGACTGGGCTTCTGCAGTCACTAATGCAACTGTCCGTCTGGCTGGTTGAGGGCCAAATAAGTCATCCTCATCTGACCAGTCACCAAAGGAGGTCAAACTGGAGCTGTCCTGTCTGAACCTTATAGAAGACACATTGGACTCCACCATGACAGCCTCAGGTGGTTGGTTAGAAGTTGTCTGGGCTAACTGTGAAGACTGGGATTTCATCCCACCAACCGCTGACACTTCTTCACTGCTCCATAAAAATCCTTTATGTTTCTGCACACAATATCGCAGGAGCAACCAGATCAGAGCCTTCATGAAGTCATCCTGAAGTTTCCTCAAGTTGTCATGAGAGTCAATGATACCAGACAGCACATTTCGGGCATCAGAGTAGACCCGTACTGCAAGTGCAGCACACGGGGTGAGGGCATTGCCCCAATGCAGATTGAAGCCCTGGGTGAAGCCGAGCCGCTCAGGGCGTTCAAAAGCAGCTTCAAAAACCTCATCCACCCTCCGTGCCTCCACCGTGTGGCAAGACGTCTCCTGCAGCTCCAGGCCCTGTAACAAACACACCCCACCTTATGTAATCTTTTAGATTCTTACATAGATTATTAATAGACAATCAGAGGGATACAGTACCTTAATGTTGACAGTGCAGTAGCCATATCCCCTCTCCAAGATCATTATCCAAACCATGCGGTCCTGAAAGCGGCCAAGAAAATGACAGCCTGGGGCTAATGAACCTGAAAATGGAGAGCGACTCATCAGTTATCCATACATCCAACATGTAAGGAGATGTGACTATGAGCACAGAACATAAAACATGTAGCACACATATGGGAGTCTTTCATTTTGTATCAGCTGTGCATCCCTCTGCTGACTACATGGATAACGTAGTTACTGGATGAGCTGCTTGGAGATGCATACAATGACAATAGTACAGGAAGGTCGTGCTACTGATTTAACTGGCTGACTGCACAGAGATCTAAATATTAAATCTCTTCTTGTCCCCAGCTTTCCATTAGTCCCTAAAACTTTGCTCTTTTTGTACAAAGGTGGATTTTCATTTTCTGAGACAGAAGACAGACGTTTAATTCAACACAGATGAACAGCAGCAGCAAGGTGAAAGGAAGCTTTTGTTTTAACCTGACTAGTGCTCGCTTGGCTCAAGGATAATGTCATGTCCCATGCTGACATCTTAGAATAGTCCCAGCCGCTACCTCATGATGTGAAGTGACACACTGGGCAGATTTCTTTCCTGCTCACTGCACCACGGCCCCCAGTGTGAGCAAAGCAAAAGAACACTACAAACTGCCACCGTTTGACTGTGAGCTTCAGCCTAACAAGCAACTTTTCTGAATTATACATCACAGCCACAGCTTCCCTAGCTCAGAAAAAACAATAAGACTGACTGATTACATCACCTTGGTTTTATTCAGTCTTAAATCATCAGTCCATAAAAAACAAGTCCCTACTTGCATGTTCCCCCCTCCCTCTCTTTCCCCCACCTGATTGGGAAGAGAACAAAACCCGAGCAGCAGCTCAGTTTAGCCTCGGCGTATTACGCAGTTAATGGTGTGGAAATATTTGGATGTAATGAATAGAGACCCAAGCTTTTTTTTTTATTTTTATTTTTTTTCCAGGGTCACTTCACAGAAAGCTCAACTGGATCACGTAAGTTCACATTACTGCCCGTAGTCCAAAAAGTCTGCTCACAACAGAATTCCTCTTACTGTGTAACCGTATGAAATGATGCTTCACTGCTTTCAGATCTGCATACAGTCCCCATTTGACCCATACAAGAGTTCAGTTGCTGCAATTACAGCCCACGTCAAAACACACTGTTGTAAAAAACATATATATATACTTTTTTTTTCTATATAAGGTGACCTCTGTTTACCGAGAGCTGTAAAAAGAAAAACTTAATGGAGAAAAATACTGTGTGTGTTGTAAGTTAAGCAAAACCAACTTTTAAGACAGATTTAAATTTAGATACTGTGACTGATTAGTTAATAATTAACAGGTTTCAGGTGCTTCATAAAGGAAGTGAACACTATTAGCTGTCCAATTTAGATGCCATGACGGGTTTTGTCATTATCTTAATTAGGGCTGTTCGACATAACGTTATACATCGGATGACGATATAAAAACGTCTATCGTTTCATTTTAAGATATCGTTTATTGCGTGGTGTCGCAAAATAAACGTTTATGGCAATATTTTTTCATGGTTTTGATGGTCACTGTAGTGGCTATATTAATTTCTTACAGTTCTCTCTTTCTCTTATATTTAATATAACCACACTATGGACGGACAAGCGCCTGTTTTTATGTGTTGTCATTAGTAACAAAGACGGTAAAACCACTGCGTGTCCGCTTGTTTATTTTCCACATAAACCTTTCACAATAAAGCTCAAGATCCTGTTGAGACTTTTCAAAATAAACTGAATCACATAAAAGAGTATGCAGAATATTAACGGATGAGAAGCAAAAAAGAGCCGTCAGGTGCTAAAAAATAAACCTTAGACTCAAATGTTAGAACAGGCTTTTCCCCGCAGCACACTGTGTAATAAATACTCACAAAGCAAACGGCGGCCATTACAACTTATGTCAAAAAATATATAGTTTCATGTATCGCCAGCTGGAAACACTTCACGCAAGTCGAGCTGCCCGAGATTCACAGAATTTACTGAAAATGTTAAATTTTTGTGATTTATATCGTTATCGGACGATAGATGTCTTAATATCGGGATATGAGATTTTGGTCATATCGCACAGCCCTAATCTTAATGCTACAATTGTATTTTTCTAACACATAGATTTTGTATCAGCGGCTTACTTATTAAGAAAAGAAAAAAAAATTTCAGGCACGAACAACTAACCCAGTGACCCTCTTGCAAAGGCCGTCCTCAGAGCACAGGCAAGACTTCCACTCATTTGCTGGTAGAAGACAGAATCCGGGCAGGGACAGGCAGTGCCCACGGGTCCTGGCCAGCTTCGCTGAGGCCTGGGAAACCCCACAAGGAAGATGGGCAGAGTGAACAGGGGCAGCAAAGGGGCAGAGAGCAGGGCAGAGACGATCACCA